TTTTGCATGGCACAGCATTCTGCTCCAGACCGACAGGATAAAAAAAGCCGGTTATCCTCAATATTTCTTAGATATTTCTTAGCGGTTCACGCTTTCGCTATTGCCCTAAAGAGATTGGTATCAGCTCCCCAAGCTTCCTCCTAGACGCAATGACGACCCAGAAGAAAACCTTTTGCCGTCATCCCGTATGCGCGTAACATCGCCCACCGGCTTTAGGTGTTCGCCTCGCGGTTGGATGTCGGGTTTGTGTTCAGCTGCAAATTCAAGCTAACATATATGTGCCGTCAGGTAAGCGTTCCTTAACCCTTATCCACCTGCACAAAGAAATCCAACGAGCCTTACTTGTCCTGTGAAAGGGAGATAATTTAGTCTATTTCCTTTTTACGTGGAGCAGAGTATATTGGCCAGCCTGGACACTGCCTCAATGATCGCATGAGAGAGCACGCGAGGGAGGTGACCGAGCCTGCTGAAGAATCGGTGCACCAGAAAGTTATTTAACGCCGCTCATGCGAGCATCGCAGTTCTCGCGAGGGTTGCAGGCCCAACTTTGAGGAGACTCGCGTGTTTGGAGGGCCCCGCCAGAGCTACAAAAGCGGGTCGTTGAATCCTTCCCCAACCGGAGTGGGAGATCGGTAACCTAAAATCCGAGCTCGCCGGGCTGCGGGCCGCATGAGGAGAAAGTCTCAGCCAGCCTACTCCTCCTTCCAGAATGTAATGGATTAGAATTACAAATTACCGAGCCTCAAATGTAATGGATTACTGTTACAAATTACTTTCGCTGAAAAGTAACGGATTACTTTACTCGAACGTTACAAATTACTTTCACGTTAGTTTTTTCCGTACACTTACTCAAAAACAAAAGAAAACAATTTTGATATTTCTCAAAACTGTTCCGCAACACTACTTTCCATTTCTCATACTGCCGTATTATAATAGTCCTTGTAAAAATACAATATTGTATTTAAGAGAAAGAGCGTAGGTGCACTCTGTTCACCTGTAAGCTGACAAGGCACCGAAAGCTGCAACCACAGCCGTCACTCCGCTAGCTTGCGGCCTCCGGAAATGATCCCTGGAATTTTTCGGACAAAGCTAGCGGTGTGCAAGCACAGTAGCAGCGTCTACTTCCGCTACGAAGTTCGGAGCTAAAGACGCGATCCACGAAAGCTCCCTTTTGACTCGGGTGTTTCGCCTGGTATTCACAAGAAAAGATAAACGTAGTACTAACGCTACAATGTATAGCCCAATGCAGAATGCAGGTGTCCAAGCTTACCTAAATATGTTTCCGCAGGTTAGAGTTTGTTGTTCTTGCTGGTTACAGTGTGTGTTTTTTTTGTTTTTTTTTTGGCAAGCAAAGTATGCTCTGAAACTCAAGGTTTCCGTTCTTCCTAATGCCCTGAATTTTGAACATGTCATTAAGAGATGGCGATGAAGACGACGGACACTCCACGACTGAAAACTCTACCAGTCAGAGAAAAAGTGGTGGTTACGGGTTATCAATCGTTCATCGGTTCTCACTTTCATACCGATATTCGTGGAGCCAGGGCAAAAGAGGGCATAGAGAGCGAGAAAAGCGCTGGGACCATCGGTCTCACAAGACAATAGAGGATCACACCTCTTTTACGCGTTCTCTCTCTCTTTCTCTGTCAGCACTTCTTAGATGGCCTAACCCTCCCCACCCTTTTCCCTTTATGTTGGCAGCTGACTGTAACGTGAGGAGTGGACTCGACCATAGGCGTAGACTACGGGGGGGGGGGGGGCATCGGGGCTCGTGCCACCCCCCCCCCCCTTGGTGAGGTTTGGGAGGGCCCCTCCCCCGGGCCGCGATCCTTACTGAGACGCTGTTTAAGAGCCATGTAACAAACTTCTAGTAGTGGCATGTAAACAAAATAACGCTGCACGCAGTGACGGACACATGGCGATAAGCATACGCTGTAAAATGTACCCCCTAAGATAAACTACTGGTAATTGCCGGTGTAAAAAAAATTGCGCGGAAAAGCACCCCCCCCCCCCTTCCCCAGAGAACTTCTCAGCCTGCCCACCCCCGGGAAAATGGAAAGTCTACGCCGCTGTATGATCAGATGGTCAGGTGGAGAGGTTTGAAGGCGTCAGGGTGGAAAGATGCTTCCGCAAAGCTGTAGCCAATCTCTTCTGCCAACATACATCCGTTCTTCGAAATTACACTGCGTAGGGGATTGTATAGGTAACAAAGGTTGACCTTGTGACGTCGGTGGTCGGTGGTTAGGTTGTGGGTATATAAGACATTGAGGAAATAAACGCAGTAGCTGAGTTTGAGATGTTCTTTTCCCCTGTCCTTCTTCTTCGACACCATTTCCCTGCATTTACCACAGTATCGGGTTTTCTACATAATGATCAACATCCATCAGCTCGCCTGCGCACTACCTGTTTTTTCATGCGTTCAAGCAGTAACCGCTTTTTATTATTTTGGCGTCGTTAAGAATGCCTTGACTTTTAAAACAAATATGGACATACTGAATTCCCAGATCTTGGGATATGTTACACGGAATAATCACGTGGAGATTAGCGTTGTGGTCGGCGTAAGCACCTGTTATATATGTGCATAAAAACAGAGACGTAACCAAAATATACACCCAGCTTAAAGTACTAGCTGGTTGCTGATACGATTATTTTCTAAGCATGAAATTCTTTTTCACGCCACCCCTAATCGCCAAATTTTGTCCGTCCATTCGTTCGTCCCTACATTCAGGGCTAAACTTAACGGGGAAACTGAATTGGTGTTTAGGTCACTTGATGTCAATTGATGCCACTTGAGTCGACATTACGTGGCCGATACACCAATTAAGTTTCCATGCCAAAGGAAGAAAAGAAAAAAACTGATGCCACAAAAAAAAAAAAAGAAGAGGATCCCGCATCCTAAAAGCGCGTTTACACTTCCGGATTCGCGGGAAGAATCGCGCAGGCGGAATGGGCATTTTGGAACCGAGTGGCGAAATCGGCTCGTCGCTGGCAGGAAATCTGGATCAGTCCGTAGCCCATATCCAGGTTTTTCAGGTGGACGTGTCCGCCCGCAAATCCGGAAGTGTGAACACGCCATAAGACGGTCGTTTTTCTGGCAAAAACGCTACTTAGAGATTTTATCAGTCTTACGATGTATACCTGCTGAGCCGGGTTGTTACAAATATTGACCATTTGCGTAGGTTCGTTTTTGTGAACGGGCAACATGATGCACAACGGTTACGCTTTCTTCCACATCACCTTTCGAACATGCATTTGCCTGATGATATTGCAGAAAACAAAATAATAATAGCATCAGTGATTTTATTTATGGTTATTAAGCATTATTTGCTCTCATTGAACATGTGACAACTTATAGTTGTAAGAGCTGCGTCTTTGTATCAGCGTTTCGTAAAGCTATGCGCTCCTAGATACTAATGACAGCGACAATGATGGCAATTCTTGCCAGGGGGACATACACATTTTTTATGTAAAGATGTGTGCACTCAGAACATTCCAAGTGCTAGAACACTTGGAATGTTCTGAAAAAATGGGAAGACGTTTATTTGCAATGAAGACGCTATGAATGAACGGCGTTTAGCGACGGCAAGTTATGAGCGTTCGGGAATTTATAAGTTCACGTGATTGCTAACTATGGACATGCGTTTTTGTCAGGAGATGGTGTTGCGGTGATGACCTGATATCGGACGACTCGTGGCAGACGAACAAGCAAGTTTGTTTTCAGCGAATGATAAGTGTTCAGTGTCAAGCACAACACGTGGCTACCGACGTTGTCGACGTTTTGAACACTTGCCGCTTTCGACAAAAGTCCTGGCACTTGGGCTAACTTTGTGGAAAGACTCGAAGTCTTCCTTGAATCTAACGCCATCATGAACAGTAACTGAAAACGATCCACTATTCAGTCGGTGGGTGGCGAAACGTATCCATCTACGGAGTCATGGGCGATGCGTGCTCTAAGTGGCTGGAAGTATACACGATGCCTGCCACGACGTCTAAACACGTCATTGACGTTCTACGGTCTCTTTTACCTACTTTTGCCCTACCGAAAATACTTTTCTCTAATAACGCGCAAAATTTTGCTTCAAATAAAATAAACAAGTTTTTGAAGAAAAAAAAACCGGCATGAGGCATCACATTAGTGCACCATACCATCCTGCAACTAACGGGCAAGCAGAGCAGATGATGTGCGAAACAAAAAAAAAAAAAGCCCTCTTGAAGCTTAAGGTGTATTCACACGCAGGACTTTGTCCGCGGACAAGTTCCTACGAAAGGCGTGACGTCACCTTTTCCGGGGTATAAAATCGACCATTGTTTTTGCGAAAACAGCAGGCAAAACCAAGGGACATGTCCACGAACCTGAAGAACGTGTCCTCGGACCTGATATATCTCGCGTATCACGTGGGCGAACGTCACAGAATATGTCCGCGGACCTGCCGGACCATGATTATAGCGGTTTTGAAAGCGATCCAATTCTGCCTTTTTTCGAGTCCGCTGTGGTCCTCGGACAAGCCCGGGAACCGATTGCGTGGAAGTGCTCGTGGTACACTTCGTTGCACGAGCGGTTTTTTTTTTTTTTTTTTTATATGCCTCTCAGGGTTCTCGTGCAAGGATCGACCTTTGCTCATTTTCCTGTACGATTAGTACGCACGAGCTATAGCTGTGGAAGATGCTCGAGGATTCCTGCGCATAGTGAAAAGAGGAGCCGAAAAGAAAAAGAAAGAAAACGCCTGGAAATCGTTTTAAATTCGAACATGGAGGCCAACAAGGCTTCACGAGTTGTTGTGGCTTGTGCTCTCATGATGGCGGATGAGGAAGTTGCGGAAGCACCTAATATCGACGCAAAAAAACCATGGATTAAAACATGGATGTCCAAGAAGAAACTCGGTATACAGGATCTACTCTATCAAGAACTTCTGGAGAGCGACCCCGTAGAGTACCGCCGCTTGCTGCGCGTTGACTCCAACCAGTTTGCTGACATTCTCTCGTCAATTGCATCATGCATCCAGAAACTCGACACTGAAATGCGTCCAGCCATCCCAACCAAAGACAAACTTCAACTGACGCTGCGGTTTCTTGCCTCAGGTGTGTGGTTATTCTTCTTACTTTTGTCCTTGTTTTAGAATATTTGAGAGCTGCGCTCGACTTAGCCGTGTACCTTGTTTTCTTGCGAATTTTCAGGCGAGAGTCAACATTCCCTAAGCAGGCAGTTCCGCATTAGCCACAGCGCCGTCAACGGATTCCTCGCTGAAACTTTTGACGCCATTTACAAAATGCTGGGACCAAAATATCTGGTGTCCCCGCGGACGAAAGATGAGTGGCTTGCGGTAATGAAGAACTTTTACGAAAGATGGCAGTTTCCGCAATGTATTGTAGCGCTGGACGTAAAACATGTCACAATTATCAAACCTCCAAACTCTGGATCTGTGTATATTAATTACAAGAAGACCTTTAGTATCATGCTTTTTGCTCTTGTGGACGCAGACAGCAGGTTTTTGTACATTGATGTTGGCGCACCTGGGTCTGATGGAGATGGAGGCATTTGGAGAACGACACCACTGCGGAATGCCATCGAGAACGGAACAGCCGGTCTGCCGATCTCAGGACCTGGACCGGTCGGCGTCCCACCCGTCATCGTGGGAGACGACGCCTTCCCCTTGTCTACAAACTTAATGAAGCCGTACACTGGTACAAATTTGTACGAAGAAAAGGTTATATTTAACTACAGATGTGTTGCCTACATCGTGTTATTTCTAAACACCGTTTTCCTTATCGTTTTATTTTATTTTTTTATTTCAGATTAAGCCCAGCCAGACGGGTAGCAGAAAATGCATTCTGACAAACCGTTTATGTTTTTGCACACGACTATCGATGCCGAACCAGGAAGGGTCACCTCATTCATCAAGGCGGCGTGTGTGCTGCACAACTACTTTCGAGCTCCACCTGTGCTTTTTAAAGCGTCGATGGAGGACCACCAGCGAAAAAGGACAATCTACTTCGGGCTACGAAGTTGCAAAGGGCGCTCCGGGGCAAGAGCTCTGGAAGGCGCCATCGCGTGGCAGAGGGAAGAGGCGGGCCTTAACCTGCGGATAAATAACAAAATGTAACCTTTTCTGCATGTTCAGACAAGTGCAGAAGCAAAGATACCATTTCATGAGCTGTATATTGCTACTTCCTTTACTTAACAATCGTTCATGCATGTGCTGACACTTTGACCACCAAAACTTTTTGTGGTATGCTCTAATTGTTCAACTTTATGTAAATAAACTTGAAAGAATCTTCAATGTTTTTTTATTTTTTATTTCGTCATGCTATAATATTGGTTCGCAATCTAACACACTCACCCACTCCAACAAAAACAGCCGTCAGGTCGTAATAGAATAAGTACGAAAGGCAAAGGATACAAGCATTTGTTTGTTTTCAAGTATTTCCTTTACTTATGAGTGCGAAATGCTAATTTTGGTATAACATTTTTTTAGTTTAAATAGGGTTCGTTGAATTACATTTGTTCTTGCTGTCGGTCTAGGTAACGCTTGACGAGTTCCAATACCTCTATCTGACACCCAATAAAATTGGTTCCGTTCAGGCTTCTTATGTGGCCCGCCACTACTCTTCCAAAATTATCAGCGTCGTCGCCACTTTTTCAAGTTGCAAAACTTTTGGCAATTTTAGTGAAAGCAACCGTGCGCTCTTTCCACCCAGAGCTGGAGCAGTCATCTGCTTTCTTTTTTCCGTCATCGCACTTTGAGCGCTTCACAGGAGTGCCAGACGCTTTCACACTGGAACTCGTTGTTCCGCGCGGTGTGTGTGTGGAATGCGTGCCAAGGACGGGTTCCCTCATCTCGGTCATAACAGACGCCAATTCTGTCTCACTGTCCATCTGGAAAGGTAAAAGAAATACGAATGCGTTACTCTAGAGGAACTATATGTAAAGCCCCCGCTTGCATGCAGAATATCGCAAGTGTCGGCCATTTACTGTTCAGAGCAATGAGGGAGAGGTAAAGAGAGAGAGAGATAGTTTTAGTAGTGAAGGGAGGACGGCGATGGGTTACGTGACCAAGCGCAGATGTCACCACCGTAGTATTGTGGGAGAAGCGAGAGTTGTTTTTTTATATAGACGCAGCAGGTCGGATCCATCGAAGGCTCACCGGCGGTTGGCCGTTTCACTTGCAAAATTTAATAAAAAAAAGTTTACTCAATAAAGAACCCTGTACACTGCATTTAAGGTCAAAACTGTTGCGTGGCCCTGAAATTTGAATGAAACTGCCTTGCGGCCAAGACCCGGCCCGCGGGCCGCCGGGTGCCACACCCTAGGATAGTGTCTCGCAGCTTCATCCAGAGACTATCAGCACTTCAAGAAACCGTGATTAACACGAGTGAACGAAACAAAATGCTGAAGCCTGAACAAAAAAAAAATGCTGACGCATGTAGAGCAAAGCCAGAACTCGAACGTCAGCCAAGCTAATAGGATTCAGTGACCTCCATCAACGAACGCTCGACAACGTTTCGTTCGATAGGTCAAAAAAATTAAGTTAAACGAATGGGTCAACCCGCCAAACGTTACTCACTCCACTGGGATCATTGTGTTGGTAAGATTCGTTGCGCTCCCGGGAAAGGACAGGTTTGCTCCGATCCAAGAACAGGAGACAGCGGTAGAACCTCCGTCTACCGTTGTACGTGTACTCCGCAGCTTGGCCGCTCTTCGTTTTCATTATCTTTTCCTTCTCCCGTCTGTAGATGCGTCGCTTATTTTGAAAAAGCTCGTCACTCCCTCTGAAATATCAAACAACAATAAGCGGTCAAATACAACTCGGGGTCGACACAAATTAGTTCGCCTTCAATGAACCCACCTTCCGTGTAAGCCCCATACTGGGAGTAGCGCCGTTGCATTTCATTGGCAATTTGTTTCCAGAGCTCTGATTTTATGCCGTTGTTGCGGTACTGGTCGTTTTGAAGGCACCAAAGCTGTGGAAACTCTTCTACGAGTGCGATTAAACACAGCGTCGCTTCATCGCTGAGATCCTTCATCGTTGTCGTCTTCAATTCCAGGTTCATCAGACGCTGGCGGGATTGGAATCGACCGTCACGTGCATTGCGTGGCCGTTTTCTTGTAGCTTGGAACGCAGCGAAGCACCACCAAGGCTCTGGCGCGAGGTGGGAGCGTTGGGAAATACCAATCCTGAACAGATATCTCGTGCAGCGAAGGCAGCGAGAAAGGTACGAGCTCGGACTCGCAGTTCTCGCCTTGGTCCACGGCAACCATGCAGTATTAATTCGTATGTCCTCGGACTTGCACAAGTCTGCGGACTAGTCCGTTGTGACATCAAAGCCACGTGATACGCATATTTCACAGGTCCGCGGACATGGTTCCTGAAATTTGTCCGCCGTGTGAATACACCTTTACGGAAGAAGCAGTTCAGTGAAGAATCGCCAGGTTCTTGTTCCGGCAGCACCCGACGGTCTCATCTTACACGAAAAAAAAAACCGCCGAAGCAACATTCGGTGGACGAAGAGCCACACCCCTCGATCTCATATTACTGTAGCCTACGAACAAAGATCGAGAGATTCCCAGATGGAGAGTAATGGCAGTTTAATCGGTCGGACAACTCGTCTACGTGAGGAATTTCAGCGCAAGTGGGGCCTTCCATGTAAAACTTGAGTAGAGAAGGCTCTATGTTGGTTGACAGGAGGTGTCATCTCTCTGAATACGTTGGATATCAATGACCTTCAGTGTAAATATAACTAAATCACAAAACTCTCCTTGTGTATTGTTTAACTGCCCTTGTATTTGATAGTAGAAGCTATAGTGGTGATACGGACCTTTCACACCAGGCTCCTTTTTCTTATTTTTCGCCTCATACTCCTTTGCGGTTTAAGTATGCTTCAGGAATCTTTTGGAACGGGGACACTTTACGTCAACGAGGCCATTTGTTCCAAGTAGTCAATCAGGAAATGCTGCTAGAAATCCGTCCCTCATATTAACGAATAGGCCGCACTTCTGCACAGTGCAGTTTTCCTGTTCAACGTACAGTTGTAAAGCAGCATCCTCATTGATTCTACCTTATACTGTTGCGGGTGAAGAAAGTCTTTGGGTACACGATACTTGAAACAAGTCTGGCACTGTACGTTGTGGTTCGACACCCACTGATGTCGTCGTCCTTATGGAGCCTCATCAATTAATAATTACCTCGTCACCTCATATTGCTCTTCATCAACAGTAAGTACAATAGGCTACCGCCATATTACAATCCAAGAATTGAAAAATTTAGTCGTTCAGTCCTTCAACAAGTTTATTATTTATACATTTTTATTACGTTACATTACCTCGAGACGATCGACGTCCATCGTCGATCTTCAAATTCTTATACCTGTATATAAATTAGACGCACAAGAAGGGGGGGGGGGGGGGGGTCGGTGGCCGAGTGCATTGTCTAGCGCACACCAGCTCGGAGCACTTGGAGCGAAAGCTCGCGCTGCAGAACCCACCCCGCCCCTGCCCGTTTCGATCTGGAAGAGCATCGTACCGGCGTGCGGTCGTGTATCACTACTGCGTGGTGCACGTTAAAGACCCCAGGTTTGCGGCTGTACCGCACTGGCTAAATGGTTCATCTACAGCTGAGACACCAGACGCCCACTAAGGCAGACTAACTTCCGGCTGTATAAACGTACACACAACAATATTAGACGCATAATAACAAAGAACACAGCGTGCCGCATCTTTTATTTTGGTGCCCTTCTTTTTTTTTTTTAAGCCAGCGCAAGCTCGTGCGTTCTTTCTTTTGAGACGGTTAGAACGGTCGCACATAAAACCCGCGTTTTTCCTACCCGCCCGCTTCCTCCTCTCATTATGTGTATTTTGTTATAACTAAATAAGCTGTAATGATGGTGTATTATTCATATTTACTTTCAGTTTCAGTCAGGGAAAAGGAGTTTCGCGGGAACTAGAGCCAACAAATGAGCTGCGCTTAGAGTATCGGCACTCTCTTCCCCGACAGTGTTGTGAACGCCGCCATTTTGTTGCTTGTGCAGAGCAGGCGCAACTGCCGATCGTCATGATTCAAAAGTGCGACGTCCTCAGCATTAGATTCGGTGTTAGGAAGCTCATGTAATGTTGCTTTGCTTTGTCGAAAACTGTTTTAAGTGGAGGACGGAAAAGCGTTTCTTGTGGTTTCAGATAAAGCTTCAAATAACTGGCAACCATGAATTTAAGCCACAATAAAGCCAAGTGTCGCTACTCTGAAGCGTGGCTTATTTAATGACACTATTCATGCTCTTGTTCAAGAGGCCTGTAATACCTGGAGGGGCCATGACGTAAGCCCCGTGGATTCCACAAGCCACTACCTTTTGACATCTGCCTCTTCTTCATTGTTCCCGCTTGTGCCAGTAAATTAGCTTGCGGTTCCTAGTAACGACACTTGGCTTAAAATTGTGGCTTAAAATCATGGTTGCCAGTTATATGGAGCTTTATCTAAAATCACAGGAAACGCTTTTCCGTCTCTTACAAATGTTTAAACAACCCGCGACAGAGCATTTCAATATTGCATCAGCTTCCTAGCAGCGCATCTAATGCTGAGGAAGTCGTACTTTTGGATCATGATGATCGGCAGTTGCGTTTGCTCTGAGCAAGACCCAAAATGGCGGCGCCCAAACCAATTTTTGGGAACTGAGTGCCGATACTTTAAAGCTCATGTAGTGACTCTAGGCATAAAGTGAACTCGGGTGTATTATTTTCCTCTTCGTCTTTATTGTTTATTGATTTCAATCATATCGAATAATGAACGCATTATATCACGCTACGCTTGTG